CCCCGGCGGACTTACTTGGTTTGGCCGAGGCGGCGCGGGCTGCGGGACTTGCGGGGCGGGGGCCCGCACCTGTTACGCTGCGGTCTCGGGGAAAGTTGCATCAAGTTGTGTCTTTTGTGTGAGAAACCTTCGTGGCCTCCGCCTACCGGGTCGCTGGGCTTGAAGAGCCGCTGGTTCCTCCTCGCGGTGTTTCCTGCACAGGCCTTTGCTCGACCCCTCAAGGTGCCGGGGACAAAGCGGTGTCGCCCTCCTCGGGTCTGTTCTGGCGCCGCCAAAACTTGTGCCCGCAATGTTGTGCTTCCCTGGAGGAGAGCGAAGGGTTCATTTTGAAGACTTGCCTGAGAGGCATTGTGACACTGCACGGGGTTTGGGAGCCTGGCGGGGGTGTGGGGGCTGTGGCCAGCTTTGCTACTAGTCCTCTCTGTGATCAGCAGGGATCCTGGTTTTCTCTGGTTTAAAAAAACATCCCCAATTGGGAAAACAACCCAATACAGGAAGAAATTACACGTGTTGTGTCTAAAAGGAAGAGAAATATTTTTTTTTAAAGTGTCTTTCATGGTACAAATAGTTGTATGAGTGTAGTGTTATTAGTAAGTATGGTGTATACACACTTTCTGTAAATATATGATGGTTATACAATACTGTTTTGACAAGAAAATAATAAACATTTTAAATATTGGAAATGTTCTCAGATTCTTGTAGATGAACGGCAGTGAGGTGCCATGCAATAACAATGAGAAATGTGTAAGCAAGCTTTTGCTGGTAGGTTGCCCTGTTCATATTGATAAAGTTATTCCCCCCACCTGACTACAATCATATATAGGATTAGACTTCACTTTTTTGTGCAAGACTGAAAATATAATAGAGAGACTGCATTACCACACATTCTGTTCAAGCTAGCATTGTTTTTACATAATTCACTCGGACTTATGCAAAGACAGTCTTGAGTTATGATTTTGGAGTCAACATCAGTGGTTCCCCATGTAAGGTTGAAAAGCATTACTGTAAATCCTGATTTTCATGCCATTATATCAATTGCAACAACATATAGCTTAATATCTAAACAAATACAGAAAAAACACTTGATATAATCTTCATAGAGCCTTCAGCAAGTACCTTTATTACACAGACATAATTTTCAGCTGTCACACCACCTTTCCTTTAAAAAAAAATAAAAATTCTGCTATGTTCTAATTGATTGATTATTTTGCTTGTGGCCAAAAGGATGCTGATCTCCATTAGGTGTTTAAGAACATAAAAGAACATGTGCATCTAGAAGCAGTTTACACGTTCTGGTATCAACTTTCAGAATAGAAACATCAAGTAAATCAATAGGGACTTTGAAAGAAACTACAGGAGAGCAGCAGCCCCTCCTAGCTTCTCCCCTTCCATGGGAAGAGGTCATGAAATCTCTGTGGTGTACCCTTAGAAGTTTTGGGGAAAGTATAGGAAATAAGTATGCTTGAATGGCGTTACAGGTTGCCTCTGGTTTTTTGAAGTACTCATAGGTGTAAACAGTTTGATAGCAAATTTTCTCTCTTTAGTATATAAATTACTAGTCAAAGTAAACAATCGTTATTACTTCACTCTTTGTAGATGGAACACTTTCTTTTTAAATACACGTTAGAAAAGTTGTAAGTCAATGCATTTCTGGAAGGCGTTCAGACACCTATGATGAGCTTGACATATGAACTGGAATGGGACTGAGAAGAGAGAGTTTATTATTAAACAATATGAAGCAACCTCCTTTTATTGTGGTAAAGCAATTAATGCATAACACCATAAGGCAGCAGTAGAAGAAGTGACAATCAGTAGCTTATTTATATTGTTTGGTGATAGATTGTTCTAAGCAATAATCCTATATTATTCCTGGCAGACATCTTCACATCTGCTAGAATGCAAGCGATCAGCAAGCCCCCAGGGTTTTCATGCTGCAGCAGCTATAGCTCAGAGAAACAGACAAAGTATCACCATTTGGCTTTGATCCAAACAAATGTGTTTCTTGTCATTTGAATCTATCCATCACAAGACTGGTATTATGTTTTATCATTCTTTAACATTAAAATGTACAAGTGCTAAGATTATAGGAGTAATATTCCTTATTAAAGCAAATGGAGTCTACCCCGATTTGTTTTTGCAGACCATCTGCCAGTTGATTTCCAAGTGTAAAACAGATCTGTTTCTTATCAAAATAAGCATATCTGTTGAAGGAAGATATATGAATTACCAGCTGTGTAACTCTCAAGCTATTGGAGTAAGTGTCTGTTTATGGCACACTTGTGAATGAAAGCTATTATTCTTACATTGTAATGAATATTCCATGACTTCAAAAAGCCAAGAAGCTCAGCCTTATAACCATTATTTTAATAACTTCATTATGTAGAGGTGTGTTTTTCATTTCTTTTAAAAACCCAGTATAATTATTTGGTGACTTTTAATAGTCTTTAGCTGCCATTTTAATTAAACTACAGTTTTGACCATTGCAGTGAATTTATGGTAACAATGCACTGCTATGGTAGAGATGTAAATTAGGATCTGAATGTATTTGCTTTTTTTTTTTTGTATGGGAGAGGTAGCCCTATCTTACTTCAGTGACACTCCTCAGCTCCTTGAGGAGTGCTGTTAACACTGCTGGGAGTGGGGGCATGCTGTAGCTCTTCTAAACTAGAAGGATACATGGACATCATGCTTGACCATACAAGGGAGGAAATAAAAGAAGCAAAATGAAATATTACTCATAAAGTGGTTACATGTGATTGGGCTAAAATTAATGTATATTAGGGATCTCACCTTCTTAATTCAAATTTACTTCAATAATAATTATAGGAAAAGTGGGAGTGAGGTATCTCACGTATACTGTGTTCTTGGCTATTTCACTGTAAACACGTATTTATCATAGCACGAGTGGTCCAGGTACTTCTGGACAGAATGTAGGCAAGTGCTATGTTATTATTTTCCTTAAAAAACAGAGAGGATATTAATGTATCTCAGTACTGAAATGCAACACCTCTGCTTTCCCTTATCCATTTCTTTCATGAATATAGGCTACCAGGTGTCAAGTGAAGCTCAATTTTAGAAAAACCCCGGGTGCATGGCCAGGAGGATGGAAGTTTATGATAGAGGGGGTGTGTGTGTGTGTATAACTAGATATATAGATTTATTTTAATTTTAAAAAAATTAAGAGGAGGTGGAGCTCCCGGGTGCATAAGCACCAGCTGTGAGTCCTAGCAGGCAGTCAGGCCTGCAGGCTGCTTGGAGTGGAGCTCCCCCAGGGAAGCTGACTGCAGGGAAGCGCTTCCCAGGGAAACGAAGCTACCCCTTTAAGTGAGACAAGTTTAGCCTTGAGGTTATAGTTTGTGGCTTTGTAAAGGCAGTTTGCATGCATTTTAGTTATGCTATTTATGTTTACTTATGTTTGTATAACTGGTGGACTGGATGTGGCTGAAAGGGGAGAAGGGGAAGACATGGGGGTGCTGCGGGGGCACCTAGCATAAAGCCATGCCCTGGGTCAAGGGTGCCAGGGAGTCTGTGACCAGGAACAAGTTAGGGCCAAATAGGCCAGGGGCCAGAGATGCTGCATGGCTGAGGCTGAGGGGGCAAGAGCCTGAGCACAGATGAGATGATCAGGGCAACCAGGGGTTAATCGGAGGCTGTGGAGACTGGAAAGGCCAGACCCAAGACAGTGTGCCTAGGCCATCAGTCAACAAAAGCCAGAGTAACCCATAGGCCAGTGTTTCCCAAACTTATCCTCAGTGTGACCCCATTTATGACCCCATTTCCTCAGCCTGGCCCCTCACTCTCAAGTTGCAGCCCTCTACAACCCCAGGTGCCCCTCATGCCCCCCGCCCCCCCGGTGCCCTCAGGCCAGGGCCAGGATCCACAGCTCCCTGTCCCACCCCAGCACCACCTGAGACCTGGCTGCCACCCATGGGTGGTGGTGGCTGCTGCGGCTGGAGCAGAGTACACAACCTGGCTTCCTACCCTGTCCCCTCCCTTGCAAGCAGCGCTGCTGGAGTGGAGCTCATGTGGGGGGAGTATGCAAGCTGTCCACTGCAGGCTTGGGGCTTCTGGCCCTACTGCCCTCCCCCTGGGGGCTCCGTGGCCCAGTGGACAGGACCCGGCATAGGAGGGAGTACTGTGCCGCACCACAGCGCCATGGCTGCCAAGTTGAGGTGTCCCCTACTCACTCAGCAGCAGCATGGGCACAACTGTGTGCCAGTACTGCTTCTGCTGCCATGCCTCACCTTGGTGGCTGTGGTGGTGCACCACTCCTTTCTGTGCGGGCCGGGAGCGACCCGAGCCCTTTTTTGTGCTGCACGCGGGCTGTGGCCAGCAGCCCGGGCATGCTGGATCGGAGAGGGAGGGCGACGAGCTGGAATTAGGCACAAATGCTTAGCGGTAGTTTTAAAGATTGTTTACTTACACCGAGATGGCAGTGGTGTAGGCTGGAAAACTTGCTTGAGTTGCGGTTACAGACACAGACAACACGGACGGTCTCGTGGAGGTTGCTAGGCTCCACGGAACAGAGCTCCGGATGCTCTGGGTGAACACGCCACCAAAATCGAAATCAGAGATACGTCTTATAAAATTTGTACTCGAAGACGGGAAGAGGTGGGCAATGGATCAGGTCGCCAAGCTCCTCTGAATCTC